CAGTGGACACTGGGCCAGCTGGCAGGGCCAGAGAACTGAACAAAAGTGTGTGGCTAAAGGGGCATCAGCAGTGCAAAGAAATCTTCATAGGAGCCCCTAGTTCGGTCTGCCTAAAATTACAAAAGTAAGGAATGGGGAGGATTCAGAATGTGGGACTCGTTCATTCTTTTATTCAACTAACATTTATTAAGTGCCTATTATAGGCCAGATTCTGTTGGGAGCTAGGATAAAAACCAAGACTAAAATTTGGTTCTTTCTTTCAAGGAGTGAATACTCTGACTATAAGTTAAGTACTCACAAAACTGTAAGTTATGTGCACAGTATAGAACAACAGAGATGAGATATAGATGTTAATTCTAAGGGGCAAACTGACTTCATGTAGGAGGTGATGTTTAATTTAAGTCTGAGGGGCAGAAAGTGTTCACAGAAGTGCTCTGGAAACTGCAGAGTCCTGTATGGAGGAGGAAGGTGGGAAGTAAGGAGGAGGTGTGATAACATTGGATAAATAGGAAACAGATTATAAAGGACATCAGTTGCCATGTGATAGGAAGGAAGCCTTGAAGGAATTTTTAAGCCTTGGAGTGGTATGTTCTCACTTTTTAAATATATTTTTAATATATTTTATTGATTATGCCATTACAGTTGTTCTATTCCCCCCTTCATTCCTCTCCACCCTGCACACCCCCTCCCCCACCATTCACCCCCTTTAGTTTATGACCACGTGTGTGTCTCAGGTTCTTTAGATTCTATATTTCCCCTACTATTCTTGCCCTCCCCCTATTTTCTACCTACCATCTATGCTACTTATTTTCTGTACCTTCTCCCCCCTTCTCCTCCTCCCACTCCCCTGTTGCTAACCCTCCATGTGATCTTCATTTCTATGGTTCCGCTCCTGATCTAACCGTCCTCTTAGTTTGCTTTTGTTTTAGGTGTGGTTCTTAATAACTGTGAGTTTGCTGTCCTTTCACTGTTCATATTTTTTATCTTCTTTTTCTTCGATAAGTCCCTTTAACATTTCATATAATAAGGGCTTGGTGATGATGAACTCCTTGAACTTGACCTTATCTGAGAAGCACTTTATCTGTCCTTCCATCTAAATGAAAGCTTTGCTGGATAGAGCAATCTTGGATGTAGGTCTTTGGGTTTCATGACTTGGAATACCTCTTTCCAGCCCCTTCTTGCCTGCAAGGTCTCTTTTGAGAAATCAGCGGACAGTCTGATGAGAACTCCTTTGTAGGTGACTGTCCCCTTATCTCTTGCTGCTTCTAGGATTCTCTCCTTCATTTTAATCTTGGCTAATGTAATGATGATGTGCCTTGGTGTGTTCCTTCTTTGGTCCAACTTCTTTGGGACTCTCTGAGCTTCCTGGACTTCCTGGAAGTCTATTTCCTTTGCCAGATTGGGGAAGTTCTTTTTTATTATTTGTTCAGATACATTTTCCACTGGTGGCTGTTCCTTTCCCCCTTCTGGTACCCCTATAATTCGGATGTTGGAACGTTTAAAGATGTCCTGAAGGTTCCTAAGCCTCTCCTCATTTTTTTGAATTCTTGTTTCTTCATCCTTTTCTTTTTTTTTTTAAGATTTTATTTATTTATCTTTAGAGGGGAAAGGAAGGAGAGAGGGAGAGAACTGGCCTGCAACCCAGGCATGTGCCCTGACTGGGAATCGAACCGTGGTTGCTTGGTTCCCAGGCCCGAGCTCAATCCACTGAGCTACACCAGCCAGGGCTCTTCATCCTTTTCTGTTTGGTTATTTTTTCTTCCTTCTGATCCACTCCTTTGATTTGAGTCCCAGTTTCCTTTCCATTACTATTGGTTTCCTGTGCATTTCCCTTCATTTCCATTAGTTTAGCCTTCATATGTTCCTCTAATTTGTGACTAAATCAACCAGTTCTGTAAACACCCTGATCACCACAGTTTTGAACTGTGCATCCGAAAGTTTGGCTATTTCTTCATCACTTAGATTTATCGGTTCTGGGGCTCTGAGTTGTTCTTGAGCCATGTTTTGATCTGTTCGTGCCTGTTACGTATGAGGATTGAAGCATTAGTTGTTTACCAGGGCGGGGCTACCCAGGTCACTGGTTTGTGATGCTGTATGTGGGGGCATGGTCAGAGAGGGGCCACCCAGGTCACTGGTTTGTGACACTTGTATGTGGGGGCGGGGTCAGAGAGGGACAATAGCGGTCCCCTCTGCCGCTTCTGGCCACTGGGGTCTGTGTGATCCGTCTCACTTCTCGCTCCTTCACTGGTTTATCTGTGCGCAAATGTGTGACCATGGTCACCCCTCAGAGGGTCCACCCACTACTTCACACCTGGGATAACCCACGGCTGCCGGTGCGCCTGGGTCGTGCTCCTGGTTGGGTCTGATGGATCTTTCCTGCCCGACCCCGCTCAGCTGCTGGCTCTGTCCCTCTTACTGGTTTGGCTGAATGGTTCATTGTTGTCAGACTTCCGTATAGTTTAATTTTCTATGGTTGGCTGCATTTTTGTTGCTAAAACTTTGGGTTTTTAAAAAAGATTTTATTTATCTATCTTTAGAGGGGAAGAGAAGTAGAGAAGGAAGGAAATATCAATGTACGGTTGCCTCTTATGAGTCCCCTGCTGGGAACTGGCCTGCAACCCAGGTGTGTGCCCTGACTGGGAATCGAACCTCGATCGTCTAGTTCCCAGGCCTGCGCTCAATCCACTGAGCTACACCAGCCAGGGGAGTTGTTTTTAAACTTGGTTGTGTGAGGAGGTACAGTGTTTCCACCTACGCCTCCATCTTGGCGGAAGTTCCAGCTTCTTGTTCTCATTTTTTAAAATCATAACCCAAGGGGACAATATAGGACTGAGGGGGGTGGGGAACTACTTGGCAATTAGAGTCAGACTTGGATTCAGACACCATTTCTCAACCTGACCAGCCTTGTGACTTCAATCAAAGGGCTTAACCTCTCTAAGCCTCAGTATCTGTAATAAGGTTGTTGTGAAACTGAGTGAGATTATACATGTAAAGCTTCTGGCACAGAGCATGGCACCTAGGGTCTACACCATAAACACCACAAACATGCCTCTCCACGTGACTTTAAGTGCAGAGTTTGGAGGGTAACTTGGTGGGAAGGAAAGAGGGTAGCATTTGGAGAGGCAGGTGGCGAGGGGTGGCTTGGGAGCAATCACCTGAAACCAGGTGAGAGATAAGCCTGAACTAAGTAAGACAGTGGCTATGGGGATAGACACAGATTTGAGAGATAATTGTGAGGTACAGATCCAAAGGTGCTGTTGTCTGATTGGCCATGGAGGATAAAAAAGGAATTTAGACCGATTCAAATTCCTCTGGGGAAACTGAGGAGGTGGTGGAGCCATTGGCTGAGATAGGGAACCATGAGAGAAGGTGCAGGATTGTGGAAAAGATGATGACCTTCGGTAGGTTGACCAGTCCACCAGTGTGCACACCTTTAAGGCCAAAGGTGAAAATAGGTTGCTGTTTGCTGTGGGGTAGATGTGGACAGAGTTTGGACGTTGGGACTGGACGGATGAGTCCCAAATGCATACACCTGGGGTTGAGTGCAGGGTGGGGCCAGGGTGGAAGAGAGGAGGGCCAGCAGCAAGCCCAAGGCTGAAGGCCAGCTCTCTTCGTCTCACTGTGTTCCAGCACAGAACTCTGAGAAATCTTCGAATGAAGATCATTTCTGTTGCAGATGGCAGAAATCCACTTAAAGCTTGAGCAAGAAAAGAAATTGATTGACTCCTATAACTGAAATCACAAATCTGTTTCTCTCTATCCCTCTGCTCTGTGTTGTCAGGGCTGGCTTCTGTCTCAAGCAGCTTCCTGCTTTGCAGTACTAAGCTGACACCTGGAAGCTCCAGATTTACAGCCTACCAGCTCAGCAAACCCAGCAGGACGAGAGACCTCATGCCCATTCCTGAACATTCCCAATTGCTGAGGTCAGAGCAAGGAACACACAGATTGGTCAAGCTGAGAACCTACCCCCAGTAGACACACACGACCACACAGACTGAGAAGGAACAGCAGGGTGCTATTACCAAAAAGGCAGAGTGGAGGCTGAGCAGATGCCTCCCAGAGACACGCTGAGTTTGAGATGCTGTGGCATTTGGGGTGATACCCAGTGGCCTCAAGTTGAAGAGAAATGTCTGGATGGAGACATAAATTGAGAAATTACCTGAGGACTTTATGATGGTGATTGAGTGGGGCAGATGATTGCCCAGGGGAATGCGGAAAAATGACCGGGTCAGCACTGACCAGTGGGGCCCAGTTGGTTGGACATCATCTTAGAAAGTGAAAGGTCGCCCATTTGATTCCCAGTCAGGGCACATGCTTAGGTTGTGCCGCTCCCCCTACCCACCCCCCGGGGGGTGGGGGGCCGCATATAAGAGGCAACTAATAGATGTTTCTCTCTCACATTGATATTTCTCAACCTCTCTTCCTCCCTCACTTCCCCTTTCTCAAAAAAGGAAAGAGGGAAGGAAAGGGAAGGGAAGGAAGAAAAGGAAAAAGAAAAGAAAAAGACTAGATCAGAGGCCCAAAGAAGACTGGAGCACGGAAACATCACTGTTTGATGGTGAGGCAAAAGGGAGCCCTCAAGGTTGGAGAAGAAACGAGGATCTGGGAACTGGGGTGTGAGGGGAACTTAGCACTGGGGCCCTGCAAATCAGAAGAGCCTGGGGCTCAGAGTGCCGAGTCCCTAGGAATAAGGGGAAAGGCAATATATCCAATTCCCACGACTAGATTTTGAGGCCCCGCCGACTCCCGCCCCAGTCCTCGCTCGACGTTCCTAGCTTGTTTGCCACCTAAGGTCTTTAGTCACTGCCCACCCGGGGCAAGAGTCCTCAAAGTTACATCATGTGCAGTGGGCGGGGAAGGGGCGGGGCGGGGGCGGGGCCTAGAGGAGAGGACCCAGTCCCTCAAAGGCAGAGGTGGGCTTGGGGGTTAGTGAGGGTGCAGGGGGTGGGGCGGCGGCTTGGCGGGCTTGGGACTTGGAGCCCTAGGACTCCGAGAACTGGCCCACTGGCATGGTAGAAAGAGGGTCGCTGCGGCCCTGCTAGGTCCCGCCCATTCACCCGCCCACTCGCCTTCGTTTTAAGCGCCTCCCGCCCAGTCTTAGCTCCCTCAAGCTTCGCCGCATTCCCTTCACCCACCTTCCATCTCTCCCCTGCTCCGGTCCGTTCCCGTGGCCACCCCGCAGCCCCCGCCCAGGTGCCATGGCCGCTGTGTACCGCCCCGGCCTGCGGTGAGTGACCCCAGCCCCGGGCCGACCCACACCTTCCGCGGGGCTCGCACCCTCCGGGCTGCGGGTTGCGCCCTCCTGCTCGTCCGCCTCAGCCTGGCTTCCCATCAGATGAGGCAGCGTGGAGGGGGGCAAGTGTTTCTCGACCCCGAACCTCTCGGGCCTCGCGTCTCGCCAGAGATCAGGGGTGGCCGCTTCGGGTCTCACGGTTTCCGTCCCCTCCTACCCCTCCCTACTCTGCTGGTCTCTAACCGCGTGGCCTCTGTCTGCCATTCGCAGAACTTCCTTCCACCTCCTCACTCACCCCCACTGAGCCCGGTAGCCGAGTCTTTCCTCTTTCCTTTTTAGACGTAACTCTTGTTCCACAGGTTGCAATGAGGAGCAGTAGGGCCCTAGAGTCAAGGATGCACGGGCCCTGGGAAATGAGCTCAGAGGTCCCTAACCAAGGTAGAATGTAAACATCCATTCCCCATCCTCCCTCCTACTTGTATCTGGCGGGAAGCCTGACAGTCAGAGGGACCTGGGGCTAGGGGAAGAAGGGAAGCAGAGGAAGGAGCCAAGTTGCTTTCAGTCATTATACAACTGCTTTTGTCGCCTGTCCAAAGCGGGAGCATCTAGGCCCTGTTTGTCCACCTTCTCCCCCTTTTCACAGCTTCCTGTCTTACTTTTGTAGCTTCCCTTTTCCCCTGGTTTTGTCCCAGAATATGAGTTGACCCTGTATCGCTCCCCTGCTGGTTCCAATCGTCCAGCCCTCGTAGGTGGCCTCTGGAGCTGAGGAAAAGGAGAAGGTTGCACTTAAGGGGCTAGAGGGCAGTGGTGGAGTGGTGGAGCTTCACCAGAGACTTCCTGAGCCAGGCTCCCTCCAGAGAGAAGCTCTCCCCAAGACCATGTACCTTTAAAGTTAGTGTTCAGGGAATACCCAGGTCCCAGGTGCCCTCCTCCTCAGCCCTGGGACCACACTGGGTTTCCATCTCACCTGGCCCAGGGGGAACACACCCCAGTTCCCGCTCCAGCCAGGCTCCAGATCCCACATCCATGATCTCAACTTTCTCCCTTCCCAGGCTTATACCCTCTCTGAATTTGAGCTTCCTGCAGTCTGCTATTGTACCCTACCACCAACACCCAAAGTTCTGTGGGCATGTGTCCTCTAGGAAAGAGAGTCTGGAAAATACAATTATGTGGTCCTAGGTGTGTGGGGCACATTTTCCTATGCCTCCCTGGAACAGGAGGAGGGCAACTTCCCTCTCCTGGCCTTTGGTCTTTCTGGCTCACTCCACTCCAGGTCCAGGACAATCAGAGCAGACCCTGCTTCTCCTTCTCCCAGGGGTGTGAAGGGACAGCCAACAGGGACCCTGCCCTCCTGGGAGTCAGGATATGAACCCCAGCCAGTGACATTTCCCAATAGTCAGCCTTTCACACGGTTCAAAAGTACCTACCCAAGAGCAACATTTTTGCACTACTTTTGGACCAGGTGGGCTGCAGCAGGTCTGATGCCTGAAACCTAATAGTGGATCACCCACTCTCTGTGCAAGAATCCTAATCTAGAAACCTGGGACTACTATCTCAAAGAACAGGTTCTTTGCATGAGGTTTTCATAGTCTCACAGCATACACGCCAGAAGAAAATAAATAAGTAAAAATAGCTGCCTTTTTAACTTATAAAAACTAGACTTGAGAATGGAAAGAACAAGGATTAAAGCTTCTAACACCAGACACATGAAGCTGACACCTAGGCAGTTTATTTACACTTGGACCATAGGGCAACTGTTCATTTCTAAACAGTGACCAAACCTAGTTAAACATGGGCATGGACTAGGCCTGCAATAACAGCAGCATGCTTACACACACATACACTTCTACACAGCCTTCACGACCATATGGCAATACCTGCCCCTTGCTGACCAGGAGACACCCTCACTAAGCCTCCCAAAGGCCACAAGTTACACGTGGCCTGAACCCGTCCCACACACCTCCAGCCCTGCTTCTGCACACTCCCTAGCAGCCCCAGCTTCCTGTCCACCTGACTTGCCCATCCTCTGTGAGAACACCTGGCTCATTATCTGTTTTCTTCTCCCACAGGCTTAGCTGGCATGGGCTGAGCCCCTGTGGCTGGTCCTCACGGCGCAGCATCCAGACCCTGCGAGTACTCAGTGGAGACCTGGGCCAGCTGCCTGCTGGGGTTCGAGACTTTGTGGAGCGCAGTGCGCGCCTGTGCCAACCAGAAGGCATCCACATCTGTGATGGGACTGAGGCCGAGAACACTGCCACACTGAACCTGCTGCAGCAGCAGGGTCTCATCCGAAAGCTCCCTAAGTACAATAACTGGTAAGCCCTGAGCCCAGCGACCGTGCATATGGGGCAGCTGCTTGGACTGAGGCCACTTTGTCTTTATGAAGACAAAATCAGATTTAACCAGGCCGTCTCAATGGAATGAGCAAGAATGGGAGTTTTAGAAGAAACAGTCAGGAATTACTAGGAGTGGCATGCGTTTTTATGTTACGTGAAGAAGCAAGTACAAATAGAAACTTTTTTCATTTTTTTCTCTCAAATTCAGGGAGTTTTTGCCAGGAGAAGAGGTCTTTAGAGGGCTGGAGACCAAGGGAACTACATAACTAAACATGGGCCTGGGCCAAGCCCACGGTAACATCAGTGTGCCTACATGTGTCCCCTTACATGGGGCGAAATCTGGCAGCAGTGACTGAGGTGTGCAGGCATGGGAAAAACAGGAGACCCAGAGTCAAAGTTGGACTTGAAAGAGTGGGTCTAGGGATAAGGGAGCCTGCTGGCCACCATCTTCCTAATAATCCTCTCTTTCCCAGCTGGCTGGCCCGCACAGACCCCAAGGATGTGGCACGAGTAGAGAGTAAGACGGTGATTGTAACTCCTTCGCAACAAGATACAGTGCCCCTCCCGGCCGGTGGGGCCCGTGGGCAGCTGGGCAACTGGATGTCTCCAGTGGAATTCCAGCAAGCTGTGGATGAGAGGTTTCCAGGCTGCATGCAGGGTAACCAGGGCAGGGACACAGAGGCAGGGACACTGAGGGTATTAAGAGGTGACATTTCCTTCACCTTCATCCAGGTGACATTTTCCTCCACAGGCCGAACCATGTATGTGCTTCCATTCAGCATGGGTCCCGTGGGCTCCCCACTGTCCCGCATCGGAGTGCAGCTCACTGACTCGGCCTACGTGGTGGCAAGCATGCGTATTATGACTCGGCTGGGGACACCTGTGCTTCAGGCCCTGGGAGATGGTGACTTTGTCAAGTGTCTGCACTCCGTGGGCCAGCCTCTGACTGGGCCAGGTGAGCTCCTGCTCTGTCCATGAGAGGATGCAGAGGCCTGCTTACACTCAGAAAGAACCCCAAATCCTACCCATCCTCATCAGTGAGACACCCAATTCCCCAGATCCAGGCCAGCAGTCTGGGCTGGGGGTGAGCCTGTGTTTGCAGAGCAGTTTACACAACATTGAGAAAGTCAATTATCCATGTCTAAGAATAGGGACGTGAGGGCTGTTGGATACTATGAGGTGGGCAGCTTCAGCCACCCATTCATACTGCCTCTGCTCTCAAGTTATCTCTCCTGCTTACCCTTGATCCCTCCAGCCCCTGATACCCCAGCACCTAATGCCCCGCCAGCAGCCCCATGACCCCATTGTCCCCAGGGGAGCCGGTGAGCCAGTGGCCATGCAACCCAGAGAAAACCCTGATTGGCCATGTGCCCGACCAACGGGAAATCGTCTCCTTCGGCAGCGGCTATGGTGGCAACTCCCTGCTGGGCAAGAAGTGCTTTGCCCTTCGCATCGCCTCTCGGCTGGCCAGGGATGAGGGCTGGCTAGCAGAGCACATGCTGGTGAGGGCCTGGTGAGGATCGGGCAGCTGTGGGGGGCAAGGCAGTGGTGGGGCCTGGCCATTCTGCCTCAGCCTCGCCTACTGACTGCCAGGTGCCAAGCGGTGGGCAGGGTCTCTGCCCAAAGCCTGAATCTTTGACCCCAGGCTGCTGAATGTTGGGGGGCTTCCCCTTGCTGCCACCTCAGGCCCAGTGGCAAGGTGGTGCACCTGTTAAGTGAATAAACCTGTTAAACCTGTCCTCGCTGTTAACCCACAGCTGTCTTTCCCTTGCAGACTGTGCCCTGAACTTTGGTGACCTCCTCCTTATTCCCCCCTTTCCCCAATGTTCAGATCCTGGGTATCACCAGCCCTGCAGGGAAGAAGCACTATGTGGCAGCCGCCTTCCCCAGTGCCTGTGGGAAGACAAACCTGGCCATGATGCGACCAGCACTGCCGGGCTGGAAAGTGGAGTGTGTGGGGGATGACATCGCCTGGATGAGGTTTGACAGTGATGGTGAGCGGCCCTCAGATCATACTCGTGTTCTGGCTCTTCCCAGAGCATGACAGCCTCCCCTCCTCTGTCATGGTGAGCTTTGTCAGTAAGGACATTTTCCTGACCGGTTGACCTTGCCCTTCCCCCAGATCCTGGCAGAGACACAAAGCCTTTCTACATAAGATCTATGGTCCAGCTCACGGCAGAGGGGGGCAGAGCAGGAACTTCCCTGGCCCACCCCTCAACTTTTCCTGGTTGGTCCTTCCTTTTTCTCCACTTCTAACAGGTCAACTCCGGGCCATCAACCCTGAGAATGGCTTCTTTGGGGTGGCCCCCGGTACCTCTGCCACCACCAATCCCAATGCCATGGCCACAATACAGAGTAATACTCTTTTCACCAATGTGGCTGAGACCAGCGACGGTGGCGTGTACTGGGAGGGCATCGACCAGCCTCTTCCACCTGGCGTCACTGTCACCTCCTGGCTGGGCAAGGCCTGGAAACCTGGTATGTGGGGTAGGGGAGTCAGGACACATCCGCCAGGGCTCAGCACCTTGATGATGGCACCCACAGCCATCTTCCGGGACCTCTGGAAAGCACAGGAAGTTGTGAATGTTTGCAGTTTCCAAACCCAGGAAAGGTCTCAGTTCATATTCCAACTCCACCAGGTATTATTGGCTGTGTGATTTGGCCAAATTGCTTAACTTCCTGAGCTTCAGTTCCCTCATCAGTTGAATGGGAGTAGCACCTATCTCATAAGATTGTTGAAGGGTTAAATGCATATAATAGTACTGAACACATTGTAAATCCGCAATAAATATAAGCTGGGCATTTTTTTTAAAAGGAAAGGGAAGAGCTGTTTTGAAAATTATTACAGAAGAAATAGGGCTCAAAGCATAATCCATGAAGTTTGACCTACCAGGAAAGGAGGAAGCGTGCCCCTCCTCTTGCCACTTAGTTCCCACCATCCCTCTGGATAAGAACTACTGTCTAAAGTTCAGTATTGTTACCCTCATCCTTCCCCTGTCCCTCCAACACATACACTCTAAAACCTCTTCCAAACTGAATCTGACCAGTTCTTTAGCCTCTCCAGGAAGTTAGTTTCTCAACCCTGTCCATACTCCCCATGCCTGCAGTCCTGCCTCTCCCCCAACTGTACACTCTGACCTTCAGCTTTCAGTGGCCTTCAGCAGTCCAGGAGCCCAGAGACCTGGGGAGGGATGGGAGCAAAGAAGAGCAGGGTGGGGGAGGGCAGCCTTGTGGTCACTGAAGCCTGTATTCCCGTTCCCCAAGCTGACCTAGCAGTCACCCTCATCGTCTAATCACCCCTTCTTTTCTCTAACATCATCATTAAGCTCTCCTCAGCCTTCCTACCCAACTGAGAAATCCAAGAAAATTTCATATTTCCCTGCAGGCTAATTCCCCAACCCTTTCATCATCTCTGGATTCAGGGGTATAACTAGGGCATGTTGTGCCCAGCTTCAGTTCCCAGAATAACACTGTATGGTAGGGTCGTGAATGGGGGCTGATGAAAGTGCAGGAGAGAAACATCAAGGATGTCTCTTCTCTGAGAGGGGAGGCTGGAGCTAGGGGGTGGGAAGCAGGCAGAGGGTGCTGGCTCTTTGAATCCCTTGCCCACCAGGTCTGACTAGCAACCTCCAGCAGAGAAGGCACCATGTCCATTTTGGATACCCAGGGAAATCACCAAAATTCTATTAGTTTTAAAATCAATTCCTATTTGCACTTTGATAGCTCAGGAGATTTTTGTCTTATTGCATTTGCTGATGAAAGGTCAATTGTCTAAAATACTCACCAGAGAGACTCAATTTTTGCTTTAGGTTTGAGTATTTATTTAAATAATACCCCATAAATAAAGAAATCACTTCTGGGGGGAAATTATGCCAACATCAAACCCCACTCCTTTGAGCACTGGCTAATGCCACATGGCTATAGTTCGGCATAAACATTCGTGCCCCACTTAACCCCATTTCCTCTCCTACTCTTCCCACATATCTCAACTGGCAGTGCCATTACAGGTAAATAAGCTGATCTTTTAGGGGAGACGTTCTAGCTCCCAACTCCCTACCACGAGACTGCGGGGAGCTGATGAGGCAGAATGAAATTGTGCAAGAGTGCGTGCATACGTGTGTTAGGGGTGGATGTGCCCTTGGAAGTGATAGTATTTGTATTTCCTCTGCCAGGTGACAAGGAGCCCTGTGCACATCCCAACTCTCGCTTTTGTGCCCCGGCTCGCCAGTGCCCCATCATGGACCCAGCCTGGGAGGCCCCTGAGGGTGTCCCTATTGATGCCATCATCTTTGGAGGCCGACGACCCAAAGGTAAACATCGTGTGGGCTCCATGCCTTCTTGGTAAAGGATCTGGATCTATATCAGGGCCCATCCCCCTTTTGTACTTAAGGCTCCTGGACCCTCAGCCTGGACTGCCATGCTCCAGAGCTCTCTCCCCTGGAGAGTGCAAAACTGGGGGAAGGCATGAGGTTTGAAAATGGGATAGCTGAGGTCCTAGGAGAAAGAGATTAGGAGTCAGAATCACCAGAAGGGATGGATGAGTCCAATAAAAAGGACTGCCTGTGACCCCATTCACTGGTGTTCTAGGAGTGCCCCTGGTATATGAGGCCTTCAACTGGCGCCACGGAGTGTTTGTGGGCAGTGCCATGCGCTCTGAGTCCACGGCTGCAGCCGAACACAAGGGTGCGTACCTTCCGTTGCTCCTCTCCCGGGTACCCCATTGCCTCTTCTCTCCCTGCCTGAGCCACACCTGCCTCCTGCCCGGCCCCTCCTCCATCCCTTTTCATCCTGCCCCAAGGATATTCTAGAATCATGAACATTTTATGGCTTCCTCAAGCTGGCTGCTGGGCGCCCTTCTCTTTTCCTAACACATCTGCTCCCCTCCCCAGGGAAGGTGATCATGCATGACCCATTTGCCATGCGGCCCTTTTTTGGCTACAACTTTGGGCGATACCTAGAACACTGGCTGAGCATGGAGGGGCGCAAGGGGGCCCGACTGCCCCGCATCTTCCATGTCAACTGGTTCCGACGTGATGAGGCGGGCCGCTTCCTGTGGCCAGGCTTTGGAGAGAATTCTCGAGTGCTAGACTGGATCTGCCGGCGGCTGGAGGGAGAGGACAGTGCCCGAGAGACACCCATCGGGCTAGTGCCAAAGGAAGGTGCCTTGAATCTCAGTGGTCTGGGAGCCATCGATACCACCCAGCTCTTCTCCATCCCTAAGGACTTTTGGGAACAGGAAGTTCGTGACATTAGGGGGTACCTGACAGAGCAGGTCAACCAGGATCTACCCAAGGAGGTGATGACTGAGCTGGAGGCCCTGGAGGGACGTGTGCGTAGAATGTAACCTGGGGCTCCAGTCTAGCCAGAGAGCACAGCATACTCCTACCCTCCACTGCTACCCAGGAACAGAAGAGTGCCAGGGTTGCAGAAATTATGAGCAATTTGATATAACTAGCATCTCCTGGGTGACTTGAGGCCACATGCTATCCAATAAGACTCACGTTTATTTTATATAACATTTGTGTTTTCATTTCCCACTTATCTTTACAGGCTTCCCTCTAACACCAATTTCACGATCTTCCAGCCCCTCCAAGTAGCTGGTGTCCCACAGATAGCTCTACCTTTGGGCCACCTAAGTGGGAATCGATTGCTGGGAGAAGGCACTATCTACTCTGTGTCCTGAAGTCTTAAAAACTGGGGGGCTCTGGGAGCTGCTCAGTACAGCCTGCAGGCCTAAAATCACTGATCTTCCACTCAAACTAGCAGAAGCCTCTATAACCCCATTCTCCAGTGAAATGGGTCCATTGTCAATTCTCAAAACTGTTCCTCCTGGCTGACCTGTAATTGGGACTCACAAAGTATTCATGAATGCTTATTCAGTAGTTGGACAGCTAACACTTTGATAGCACTTTCTGTGAACCAGGCACTGTTCTAAACACATTACAAAACAAACTTTTGAGGCAGGTACCATTTTACAGATGGAGAAACAAAGGCAAAGAGAGGTCAAGTAATTACCGAAGGGCACACAGTAAACAGGAGAGCCATGGGTAAATGATAACTGCAGAGACATGTCTCTCACAGCAATGTAGATTTGTAGAGCTGTAAGGATCTTAGACATTACCTATGTCATGCTTCTCAAGACTTAAAAGTGTACATGAATCACTTAGGGATCTTATTAAAATGCAGATTCTAATTCAGCAAGTCTGGAGTGGCCCAAAGATTCAGTTTTTCTTACCAGCTCCTGGGTGAGGCTGATGCTGCTGGTCCAGGGGCCATATTTTGAGTAGCAAGGCCTTGGCTGAAACTCTGAAATCAATTTTAGTGGGAATCCACAAAAAGAGTGACAATCTTAGATAAATCAGGGGCATTAGCTGAGGATAACTTCACCTGTGATCTGGATCAGGCTGAGTGAATGTACAAACTGAGGGGGGTAAGACAGAAGTCTGTACCCAGAAAAATGAGAATCAACTTCAACGAACAAGATGGAATTACTGGGAAGTACCTCAAAACACTGCAGGAAGAAACACCAAGTGTTCTAGAAAATAGCTAATAACCTGCCACAATGTATAAGAGCAGAAAAGGCTCTAAAGGTCAGAGTGGATCACATGCAAAAAGACAGTGAGCAATAGAATCCATTGCACTTAAAAGTATGCAGACAAATCCTCAGTTTCATGAACAGCATGTGATGGCTGAAACATTATGATCAGAGGCAGCATAACAGACGTTAAACACATAGTAGACTCAGGCCAGTGGTGCCTCTCAGTTTATCTGTAAAATGCAGATGTGCCTATACCTCATAGTGTTGTTAAGATTAAGAGTCATGCCCTGACTGGTGTGGCTCAGTGGTTTGGGCATTATCCCACAAACCAAAGGGCCACAAATTTGATTCCCAGTCAGGGCATATGCCTGGGATGAGGGTCAGGTCCCTGATTAGGGTTGTGGGAGAGGCAACTGATCAAGGATTTTCTCTTTCACATAGATGTTTCCCTGTTTCTCCCTCCCTTCCCATCTCTCTAAAATAAACAAATAAAATATTTTTTAAAAAATGAGGACTCAGTGGTGGCAGGCACTCAGAACTACGCCTGGCATAGAATGACCTTTGAACATTTGTTAGCGCCCTCACCTTTCCACTCTATATGGATTAGGTTAGGCCGTATAAGCCTATATTATATATTGCTAACTGAAGTTTAAGAGTAAAATGAGCAATTTAAATAAAATTCAGAGGAGAAAGAAAATCAGTTTGGAAGTAAGTCCCTCCAGGAAAGAGGCAGGGAACTGGGGTTCCAGGCGGCTCTCTGATATCGAAATGCACAGTGATGTGAAGATGTTAACCTTAAAAATAATTTTGTCTGCCCTGGCTGTTGTGGCTCAGTGGACTGAGTGCCAGCTTGTGAACCACGAAGTCGCTGGTTTGATTCCTGGTCAGGGGGCATGACTGGATTGTAGGCCAGGTCCCAAGGTGGGGGTGTGAGAGAGGCAACCAATCAATGTTTCTCTCCATCTCTTTCTCCCTTCTTTCCATTCTCTCTGAAAGTAAATAAATAAAAACTTTTAAAGACAAAAAAGAGTTAAAAAAATTTTGTCTATTAGAATAAAACTGGGCTGCATGCCTATAGATCCAGATAAACAAGAAAAATTGATGACATTTTAATTAACCTTTATTTTAAAATAAAATAGGTACCAAAAAACCATACAAAGCTATAGCTTAGTAAACTAAAGGGAATACCCTTGAAACTATCACCTAGAGAGAAACAGCACTTTGCCAGACACCAAAAGTAGTCCCGCCACACACACGCCTCCTCACCCTGTTCATCTGTTCATCTCCATCGCAGTCCCCCTTCCTGGCATAAATGGTACACTACGGTGTACCATAATCATTTGCTTTTTTTTTTCCTGTAGTTTTGTCACTAAAATGTGCACCCCTAGACATTATAGTTTAGTCTTGCCCATTTTTCAAAAATTTCATATGCTTTTTAAGTCTCTTTCAATCTACAGATTCCCCCTCCATTTCTTTCTTTTACCTCAATTTAACCATTGAAGAATCCAGGTCTAGATGTTCAATGCTTATACTCATTAATTTACTAGGGATTTCAAAGCAGCCATATCTAAGCTCTATCATAACAGTTGGAATACTTTTAGAAAGGGACACTCCCTTTATCTTCTACTCACCACCCTGGGGTAAAGTTTATACGGGAACAGTAAGATAACTGCTTCTTTTTCTTTACATACCATCTTCAAAATAATTTGTTTTCTTATCCTTCCCAAGGTGACCAGTTAGTTGCACATACATACACATAAACTGTATTACGAACTCATAGATTTAAACATAATGGTTTTGTTTATTTGTTTGTTTTTTATTTACTGATTGATTTTAGAGAGAGGGGAAAGGAAGGACAGAGAGAAAGAGAGAAACATCAATTTATTGTTCCACTTATTTATGCATTCACTGGTTGATTCCCATTTATGTGCCCTGAAGGGGACAGAACCTGCAACCATGGTGTATCAGGACAAGGCTCCAACAAACAGCTATCCAGCCAGGGCTCCTAAACATAATGTTTATTAAATTATCCTTATTAATGCTCAAATTATCTCATCTTTGGCCATGAGAACTTGGCTCCTGAGTCCTTTTGGCATTACCCCAATGGTGCTTACTGACTTCTTCGCTATCTGGTATGATAGGTTGCTCCACTCTCATCTTGTACATTTCTGTCCCGGACCTGGAGTCAGCCATTTCTCCGATCTCTGGTTTGTTTCTGTGTGAGATGGTATTTTAAGATATGGATTGCAGGAGAGAGATCCAAGATGGCAGAGGAGTAAGTGGAAGCTACACTAACCTCCTCTCAGAACCAATCTGGAATTACAGCTAAATTGTAGGGAAATCATCCTGAACATATGGGTGGCAGGAGTATTCACTGATCCTGAATTGGTCATTGTGTCTAGACCTTTTCAGTGGATAGGGATAGAAAGATAAAACATCTCATGAGTTCATACTGATAGTGCCTATTCAAACTCAGGACTCAAGGCTTTTTAACTTCTTCTATATAACATGTGTACCTCCTATCCGACTGCCACACTGAAAATTCTGGTTCTCAAGGAGGACACAGGACATGAAAATTTAGAAATCCCATAATTACTCAATTGCTTTATTGTCAACATATTTTAAGTCCTAGGTAAATTGGCACACTTCCCCCTTTACGCTGCAAGAAGATAATGTATAAACACATCGTCAGTCACTTCAGAATTTTCCCTTGTGTTGCCTGGAGCTGTACACGTGTCCCAGGAGTCTGTGTAGTCACCAGGCTGGAAGCTGGCATGGGAGAGAGGGAGGACAGTGTGAGGAAAAGAAAAATTTGCTTTTCTCTCCTGTTTTTAGCTAAGTCCGCCCTCTAGTGGAGATGCTAATGAGCAGGAAACAGTCCAAGGCAGGTCAGGCAGGAAGTAGACTAGCTGATATTTACTTAGCAATGACCACAACTGTTCCTAAAACCGGTACTAAAGGTAGAAAACATCCTCGTGGCTTTAAGTATAGCTGGGGAGAGTAGAAGCTGCCCAAACAAAGAGCATTTTACAAACTGTCACCAAGCAACACGCCAAATTTCAAAATCAAGACAGGGAAGACCAAAAGAGTTTATCAAAACGACTTAATTACAGTTATTTTTCAAGAAATGCCATTTGACGATGGGGTAAAGACAGTATATTCAGCAAATGCTGTTAGGAAAATAGGACAAATACATGCAAAAAAAAAAACTAAACTAGACTCACCTCCTTACACCATATACGAGAATAAACTCAAGATGGATTAAAGACTTAAATGTTAAGCCCTGACCCGTGTGGCTCAGCTGGCCAGGTGTTAGGGTGCATACCACCACTCAATATTTCTCTTTAACATGATGTTTCTCTCTTTCTCTCTCCCTTATTCCCTTACTCTTCCTCTAAAAATAAAAATTAAAATTAAATCTTTAAAATAAATAAAATCTTCAAAAACAAGAATTAAATGTTAGACTGGAAACAATAAAGTTCCTAGAAGAAAACACAGGGAGTAAAATATTGGACATTTCTCAGAGCAATATTTTTCTGATATATCTCCACAGGCAACAGAAACAAAAGAAAAATAAACAAACGGGATTACAGCAAACTAAAAAGTTTTTACACAGCAAAGGAAACCATTAACAAAACAAAAAGACAACCTACTGAATGTGAGAACATATTCGCCAATGATACATCTGAAAAAAGGTTAATATCTAAAATTTATAAACAACTCATACAACTCAACACCAAAAAAACCCCACAAACAACCCAATTTTAAAAACAGGAAGAGGACCTCTTCTCCAAAGAGGACATACAGATGTCCAATAAATATATGAAAAGATGCTCAAGTAATTACCAGAGAAATACAAATTAAAACAATGAAGTATCACCTCACACCTGTCAGAGACTGGTTATCATCAAATCAAGAAATAAGTACTGGCCCTGGCTGGTGTAGCTCATTGGATTGAGTGCAGGCCTGTGAACCAGACAATTGCGGTTCGATTCCCAGACAGGGCACATGCCTGGGTTGCAGGCCAGGTAGTGCCCAGACTAGGGCATATGCAGGTGTTCCCAGTGGGGGACATACAAGAGACAACCATACACTGACATTTCTCTTCCTCTCTCCTTCCCTTCCCCTCTAAAACTAAATGAATAAAATCTTAAAAAAAAAAAAGAAAGAAAGAAAGAGAAGAAACAAGTACTGGCCAGGATGTGGGGAAAAGGGAACCACCATGCACAGCTGGTGGGACTACAGTTGGTGCAGCCACTACGGAAAATAGTATGGAGGGCCGTCAAAAAATTAAAAGTGGGACTTCCTATGCCCCAGAGATTCCACTCTTCAACATGTAGCTGAAGAAACACAAAACACTAATTTGAAGGAATATACTCATATGCACCCGTATGTTCACTGCAGCATTATTTACAATAGCCGACATAAGAATGCAAACCAAATGTCCCTCACAAGAAAAGTGGATAAAAAAGTGGTGGTACATATGTATAATAGAATGTTACTCGGCCTAAAAAAAAGAATGAAATCTTATCATTTGCAACAGCATGGATGGGCCTAGAGAACTAAGTGAAATCAAAGACAAAAATACCAAATGAAAGCCCTGGCTGGTGTAGCTCAGTGTACTGTGGGCCTGCGAACCAGAGTATCGTGGTTCGATTCCCAGTCGGGGCACATTGCCTGGGTTGCAGGCCAGTTCCCAGTGGGGGACACACGAGAGGCAACCATACATTGATATTTCTCTCCCTCTCTCCTTCCCTTCCCCTCTAAAGAGAAATAAATAAAATTTAAAAAACAACAACAAATGATTTCACTTACATGTGGACTCTAAAGAATAAAATAAACACACATACAAAATGGAAACAGACTCAGATACAGAAAAGACTGTTGATAGAGGGGTAGAGGTTGAAGGATTGGGTGAAAAAAAGTGAAGGGACTAAGAAGTACAAATTGGAAGTTACAAAATACTCATGGGGATATAAAATATAGCGTAGGGAACATTGAAATTACTATGTATGGTGCCAGTTGGGATATATCGGGGGAAACATTTTGTAAAGTATATGATCATCTAACCACTGTGCTGTACACCTTAAACTCACACAAAATAATATTGAATGTAAACTGTAATAATAAAAAATGCCATTTTCTTTCAATGGAACACATAGTACATCCTAAGATATAACTGGTCATATACACTTTTAAAGTATTATAAGTCACAAGTGACATAATCAGGTTCGTAGGCTTAAAAATCTTACATACAAAAATCAATCAGTGGATTCAGAGATGAAGTCCTATATTCTTTAGCATTTGACTGATGTTAAGACTCATTTTAGTCATAAAAACCTCACGGTTTTTAAAAAATATTTTAATGACTTTTATATGTTCATTCGATAATGTACAAATTCTGTATTTCAAAGATTTGTATTTGGATTTTACTCAGCTTAAAGTGCATTTATAAGTGCTATGGAGAAGAGGCCAAGGAGAAGAGGAAAGAGGTCATGAAAAAATGCATTA